GGGGTGGGGGGAGAAGCGGATCCGAGGAGCACCCAGCCCAAAGCATCCTCCCCGTCTGCCCCAGGGTCCCCCCAGCTCGTCCCCGCCGCGAGCCGCCGAACCCCCCAGCAGAGGCAGCAGCATCGGGGGGTCCCCCCTCTCTCCCATCACCTCCATCCCCATCAGCTCCCTCCACCGCTCCTGTTCAACCTCCTGGGGCCGGCGCAGGCTAAAGCAGAGTGGCGTGCCCGCTGGTGTCATCGTGGTCCACGCTGTTGAGAATGGCTGTCTGGTCTTCGGGGAGCTGCCGGTGGCAGAGGTCGTCCTTCAGCGCCGAGAGCCGGGCGAAGGGGTCCTGACGAGGGTGTCTCTTCTTCTTGCGGAGGCAGACAGCTTCGTCAGGCGACAGTACCTGAGAGCTGGGAGGGTGCTGAACCTGGGAGGCAGAGCCGTCTGGGAAGGGGGGAGAGAAGGCAGATGGGACCGGAGCCAGCAGCAGGGCAGAGCGCTCTGCTTGCTGTAAAAGGGAGGTTACAGCAAGCCTGGCCCTGAACCCGCCGCTTGGCAAGAAGGGAGCACGTTTCGGGCATCAGGGAAAATGAAATGAACACTCCAAATCCAAAATAAATAGAGAAGGGAGATGCAGGGAACAGGAACTCGGTTTGGAGGAGCAAGGGAGGGACAACCCACAGGCAAGGAGCCATCCCTTTGGGAGGCAGGGAACAAGGGCAGCATCCAGGAATGGGCTTGGGGACCCCCAGCATTGGAGCCGTCAGGGACCTGCCCAAGCTCTGCCCACAGAGGGACAGAAGGGATGCTGTTGGGGACCGCGGGGTCCTCACACTCACTGGGTTGTTTTCTGGATTTCGAGGAGCCCTTGGATGACTTTTTGGGCTTCTTTATCCGCTGGTATTTCAGAGCTTCGAGCCTCTCAGGTGCAGCAGCGTCCCCGGGCGGAGATGGACGTTTTCTAGGAAGGAAAAGCAGACAGGCGCCGTCAGCGGCTCTCGGCCACACTCGGGCCTCTGGACGTCCCCGGTGGGGGATCGGTCAACCCCAGCCAGCTCTGCCGTGGAAAAGGAAGAGGTGAGAGACCCAGGGCTGAGGGAGCAGGGCCAGCCAGGTGTGCCGGAGCGCGGGATGAAAGGAGCGAGGTGTCCCCGCTGCCCCTACGTCTCCCCTCCACGTTGCCGAGCAGCGCCGTGACCCGGCCGGTCCCACCGGCCACGTCCAACATGGGCACCCCAGCTCACCTGCCACCTGCCTGCCATGCCAACACTGCTAAACAAAAAAAGGACAGGGCAGATCCTATGTCCGATAAGGTATTTCTGGGAAGTGGTTGGAAACCCCTTGGGATGGAGAAAGAGAGAAAGAGACAGGCAGAAGCGGCACGGCAGCATCGAGACGGGCACCACGAGCCATCCGTGGCGGACAACACCGGCGCCACAAACAGCGGGGAGGCAGGATCCTGCTGGCCCTGCTCCCACAGCCAAAAAAAACCAGGGGCCACACGACAGACAGGGACACGAAGGGCACACACCGACAGAGCCGGGAGAGGTACCTCGTTCCCAGGTCCCTGTGAGAGGCGACAACAGAAACGCAACAGCACGGGAGCATCTGCTCCTGGAACACCAAGAGGCTGGGAGCTGGAGATGGAAACACTGACAAGGTTTTATTGCAAGGATTTGCAAAGGGGTGCTTCCTGCAGGAGAGCCAGCAGTTGCAAGGGATAGCTTTCCAGCTCTAGCCCCTGAGGAACTCTTCTACAGGAACCAGCTCAAGGTGAAACAGTCTCCCCTTTGCAAAGGGATTTTTTACTTTATTTCCTTCACTGTACCTGTTTTTCCCATCCAAGGCCTGGAAAGCATGACTGCTGTAGAGAGCAGAGCATTAGAGGAAAACCTTTTCCTTAGGAGAGAGGGTAGTCCAGCTCTTATCTATAACACATCACAGCATCCCCCCTCTTGCTGCTTTCCCATCTCCTTCCTCTGCTTCATTTTACTTCCATGACCCTCCAAGTTGCACCAACTTCTAATGGCACAGAGGGACAAGTCTGAGGCCACAGGTCAACCTGAGTCATCACCGAGCAACCTGTAGACAAGGTGTCCAGAGACAACAGGGGAGGCATCCACAAAGCACCTTTTATCGCAGTAAAGCCAATGCTTGAGGCCAGGATCCAGCGAGGAAAGGAAAACTTAAACCAGTGTGCCTTCATCTTCAAAGGAGATGACTCTCTTCTGCTCTCACAGCTCGGTCACCAGAGGTCAGTGACCAAACCTTCTCACAACAACCACGCAGAGGACAGTGCTGACAGCAGCTCCTGCATCTTCAGATGTCCGTGACTGGGGCAGGGATCAGCAAACCCTGCAAGCCACAGGCAAAAGGATGGGCAGGCAGAGGAGCTGTCTCAGCTGGCTGCAAGGAGGCAACATCAGCGTGTCCAGACTCCTGCTTTGGCACCAAAACGTTGTGGATGACATCCTCCCAGTCTGTCAGCAAGGTGAGACCCACCCAGCATTGCAAGAACACTGTGGATGCCGGTGGGAGCAGCAGGAAAGGGACAAACACACGGACTGGAGCACAGACCCTGCACTCCCAGGCTGTGGGACAAGAGTACACCCACCCACAGAGAGTTTGGAGCTCCTCATCTCCCCCGGGTTCCAGGTAGAGGCTGTGCACCACCATGGAGCTGTGCATCTCCATGCACAGAGCACAACAGCAACACTCCACATCCAACATCCCAAGCGGCTCCAGAGTGGTGATACTTCAGCTGGAGTGCACAGGCAAAGAGCTCTCAAGGGATTTTTCCCCTTGGGGAGCAGAAGGGTGGGGTTTTTTTGAAGATGTCTGTGATTGCAAAGCTTCTGAGTTCTGCTGGCAGCGTTGGAGAGCACCCAGGGAAGTGCAGCGTGAGGTGACAAAGCAGCTGAGGCACAGCAGACGCAAGAGAAACCCAAACACTGGGAACAGAAAAGCTCCTTTTCATGTTTCCCATTGCAACAGAAAAGTGAATGTGTGGAGAGCTCCCAGAGAGCCTCTGTTCCAGCTCCCAGAGAGCCTCTGTTCCAGCTCCCAGCAGAGCAGCACGTCAGCTGAAGATGAAGCAACTCATTAGACATGCTGGTAGTCCCGCTGGCTGGATCCAGGCGAGAGCTTTCCCTCGTTGGGAAGACGACATTTGCAGTTGCAGAGCATAAACACCTTGCTCCCAAGTGCAACCAGCCTCTTATGAGAGAGGCTACACCACCCACTCTAGCCACTGAGCTGCACCAACACGGACAGCCACGCACATGCTGGCTCAGAGAAGGACCACAGCGACCCACAGGTCCGACAGCACGGGACTCCCTGCAGCAATTCCTGCTTGCATGGTCAATAACAGGGTTTTCCCCCTTTATATCCACCATTTCTATGATTTGCACACGAGGTACATTCATGCAGGTGGCCTCAGCTGCTCCAGTCCATCATCCACGGAGCTCAGGTGTGCCAAGCCCTGGACACCGTCAGGCTCGGTGATCCTGCCACCATCCTGCCCATCAGCACCTGCTTTCTACCACCTCTTCCCATGTATTTGCTGATATTATTCAAGCACAGCTCTTAGAAGGCTCTTGCTCTTCCCACTCCTTTTTCTTTCTAAGAAGATGCTACTGTGGCATGTTGACAAAATTAGACAGATTTACGCAGGGGATTATGAGGAAATTGCCTGAAGCTCATTTCCACTAGTTCTCCATAATTGGACTCGTATTTATACACACAAACATAAACAGTGAGTGTGCTGAACCCATGTGTCACCATAAATACTGTCTGACCTCTGGCAAGGAAGAGATACAGAGGAGGACAGAATGATGCTACTCACCAGCCAAATTTTATCTGCTCTACCCACCCTTTCTTTCTTCAAAGGGCTCTGATTATTTCAAATTAATTTTCATTTTAAGCTCAGCCAAAAGCCTCTTCCTGCCCCCAGAGTTAACATTTTGGGCAGCTGCCCGTGCACGAGGGAGATCTTGAATACCAACAGACGAGAGGCTCAGAGAGGTGGGCAAACCTCTTCTAGAAACTTCAGTGTAGAGCTGGGCAAAGGAGCTTTGAGAAGCCCATGTGAACTCCTGACACAAGCCTTCTGTGAGGCACCACAAACACCTGGAGCAGCAGTTTTCCTCGAGTCTCCAAAGGAAAACCCTTCTGCATGAGCAAGGGTCTGAACTGCATGGACTGGGAGGTACTGGAGAGGTACTGAGGGACCTCTGAGAGCCCCAGGACAGGAGCAGGTAGCCAGGGGAGAAGAAGTATCCAACCCAACACACATCTCAGCTGCTCTTCTTCAAATGTCCTTCCACATACAAAGCAAAGATGTAAGGGAGAAGATCCCTGAAGGCATCACCGATCTCTTTCCACCCAGAAAGGGAACCCATATAAAGGAAGAGTGCAGGAGATTCAAGGGCACAGTACATATGTTTAACCTTGTGGAGATCTCAACATGCATTCCCTTTCTCCTTCTCTCCTCAAGACACTGACATCCAGAAATAGTTTGGGCATGTTAGAGAATCCTCTTGGATGAGGTAGAGCATCCACTCGGACCAGTTAGAGCATCCACTTGGACAGGAGCCCACTGTGTCTCGGCCTCCATGTGCTTCAACCCTTCATCCTCCTCAGATGAAGACCTCAATTCTCCTACAGGAGGCTCCTGCAAGTCAGAATTCCCACTTTGCTCTGAGGCAGCTCTGGCTGCTGCCTCCATCCCGGAATGCTTGGGATCCTTCAGAGAGGTGCTAGAGAAACACAGCGGTGACGGGCCCTGGCCCCAGAGCTGCTGCTGCCAAGGCACAGCAATGAGGGAGGAAGAGGCTGAGGGAAGGAGCACACCTTCTACAGGTCTGCAGACACCACAACTCATCTACACAACGGACTTCACCACCATGCTGACGGAGGGGAGAGAGGGCGAGGGAAAAGGGGCCGGACTGGAGAGGAAGAGGGGGATACAGTCACGGGGAGAGGGAGGGGGGAGAGAGGAAGATAAAATGAAAAACAGGAGTGAGAAAATATATAAGTAAATTAAAGAGACTGAAAAGAAAAATGAAATAATAGTAATAATAATAATAATAATAATAATACTTAAGAAAGAAAAGAGAAACGCACTCAGACAAGCGGACTCACAACTTCTCCAAGCGGGAGGAGGCATGAAACACATGCAGAGGATCAGCACATGGACAGTCTTTAAAGGGGAACCTGTTTTCTTTCAAGCAGGGAGCGAGGGGTGCTGCTCCTCCCACACTCCTGGCACCGACGTCCCTTCGTCACTCGACTCTACACCACGGCCAAGCCCCCCAACTCCCAGCATTGGCAGTGCTGTCCTGGCAAAGGAGGCCGGCGGGGCCACCTAGGGCAGGCTGCGGTGCCGAGGGGCGGGGGAGCTTGGTGCCTTGTCTGTGGTTTTTGGGTTTCCCTCTGCAGGGAGACGACAGCCCCCTTTTCCCTGTCCGGAGATGCACGCTGCATCCTAAGGGGAGAAGATGGGAAAACTCCTGGTGCCGACTCGGTAACAGCATTATTTATCCCTGCCCATCCATAAAAGCTACCTGAGCTTCACCTAACAAAAGCCACCACGCTGCAGCCACCACCGAGCTGAGCCCACACGCTGCCTCTCCCTCTCCTCCTCTCAGGTTTTATTACTGCAGCACAGAAATCTGGCTGGTCTGGTATAAAATCCCTGTGCTCTGCACGCACTGACAATTTTATGACCCCAAACCATCAAGAAATTACTTGGCTGGGCTCTTTACGGGATTCCTCACTTATTAACTGAGATTTATTCTTCTGGTTTCCCCTTTTTGGTGATAATGACTCTGGAGTCACTCCTGCAACTCCACCTCCCAGCAGCATCTTGGAGAAGGACACAGCAAGTGTCCTGCTGGGCACTATGATCCTGCTCCTCAAAATCCATCAGCCCACAGCACCCAGTACTCGAGATGGGAGCCAGCCAGGATCTGTGCAAGAGCCACACCAAACTCAGATGTGAGCCTGGACTCAGCTCTGCTGTGCTAAAGCCATGTTCACTCATGTCCCTGATGCTCCCAGAGTGGGGAAGTGCCACAGAGAAAAGAATAAACAGCCACGTCCTCACAGAAGGCTTCCCTATTCCTTGAGAAGCCTGGCACAGCCCAGATCTCACCAAGGTTCGGTGCCAGCTTTGCTCCTCATGGGATACCCTGCTCTGCCATCAGCAGGGGAAGACAGAAGAGGGTGGCCAAGTGCTCAAGAGCTTTGGAGGCTGCAAGGCTCAGATGGGAGGGGTTTGAGCTCCTGCACAAAGCACACATCCTATCCCTGCTCCCATCACCATGACCCAACACTCCTTCCTTACCTCTCCTGCTCTCCACACCTCAGGACAACCCTCCAGGTCAGCTGGAGGAATTTCCCTCTCCTGTAAACATCCCCCTGATTTCTCTGGGCATCCCATCTCTGTTGTGAAGCTCTTTTCCAGCCCAACAAGGCTCTGCAGGCTGTTGGAGAGTGTTGGCCAGGACCTTGACTCTTCCCATCCAAGGCAGCAAAGTTTAAGTTTTTGTAAGGCCAGTCCTAAGGAAGTTTGGCCATGGCCTGGCCCTAGAAATGCTCCTATCTGCAATCCCACCTCTCCTTTCATAACCAGCCTGGCTGACAGCCAAATAGGTCAGCGTTCCCAATCCTCAGGGTCACAAATTAGTATGATCCTGTCTGGATTTAGCAGTTTTAGAAACATTCTCTGCTTCTAAAGGCCTGAAAACTATCTCCAAATTACTCCATCCCAGTTCCAGGGATGCCCATGGCCATCTAGGAAACCAGCCTCATGAAGGCAGCCCAAGAGGAATTTTCTTGGGAGAGTCTTTCAAGGTCTGCTTAGGGCTGTTTGATTACAGCTGGGTCAGAAGAAGTCTTGGAGATTTCTCCAACAAGAATTTCAGGGAGGGAGGGATTTTGCTACGACTACACTTGTGTTGGGAAGGATAAAACACCTCTCTGGCAGCCTGAAACCATAGTTATGCTGCTGCCAGGCATACAGTCTATCTTGGGAGAAAGACTTCTCCCATTTTCCATGATTTAGGAGACTTGGGAAAAAGAAAATAGATCCAGGTACTGCTGGACACTAAATTCTCCATGTGCTGGACTGCAGCTGGAGACTGATTTTTGGAGCCCCGCTCTGAGCTGTGTGCAGCTGGTTGCTCCAGATGTGGTTGTTTTACCTGGTTCTAGGGGTGGGCCATGGGCTCTTCCTGCTTTGGATCATCCAGGACAGCCCCACCTCAACATTCACCTTCCTAATACCATACAACCCTCGTGCACCCTGCCAGGGCCAAAGGTGCCACATGCCACTGTCCTCCAAAAAAGGAAGGGCAGCCATGGGGAGACAACAGCTCGGCTCATCCCAAACCCCAAACCCCAAAGGCAGAGGAGCAGTGGCCTGCTGCTGGGAGGGGAAACCCAAAAGCCACAGAGACTGTGCGTCCAGAGGTGTTTCCTAGTGTTTTCGGATTCCTTATTCCCCTTTAAAGGAAGAGATGGTATTGGAAAAGCCCCTTCCGTGTCCCCTCTCATGCCCCGCTCCCGGCCACCCTCCACAGCACCCACACCATCCTTTCGGACATGGATCACCCTTACCTATTGAGCTGAGGAGAAGCTTGTCTCGACAACACTGCCCAGATAGCTGAGATTAATCAAAAACAAAGCAGTTATCAACACCCGCAAGGAGCCGAGCTCCGCAACACATCAGCACGTCAACAACTCCAAAGGAAAAAGGAGGGAAAGAAACCAAACTGAAACACAAACGAAACGAGGCTGGAGAAGAAAGGGGGAAAGAAACAGAAGAGAAAGGAAAAGAAGAAACGAAAACGATAATCAACGAAGCGAATGGATACACTGCATAAAAGCACGGACAACAGCGCTGCTTTAACACGGCTCTGTCCTGGAGCTGGGTCTCCTTGGGGTGCCCTGCCAGGAGACATGGACCTATGACTACATGCCTAACTGCATCACTCCGTAGCTGCGTTTTCCAGAGGCACACAGAAGTCATTTCAGGCTCGTTCAGCTCCTCTCCCTCCCCATCCTCTCTCCCCTGAGCCCTCCTGCCTTCCGTGCAGCGCCGGAGGGGTTTTCTAAGGCCATAATGCTTCCAGGTACCAGAGGGAGGGAGTGAAATGCGGAGGGCACTGCGGGGTGAAACGCTGCCTCCCCCCTCCCCAAAACACACGCCTCTCCTCTGAACGCCTCCGACCGCGCCGGTTCCGCGGGGCTGGGAGCCCCGGCCCCCGACTCCTCTGTGCCACAAGCCGGAGGAGGGGGTTCGACCCCACCAGACAACAAGCCAAAATGAAGCAAGACGAAAGGATGGGACGAAAGCACGGCTACGGGGTCTAAGGTGCTGTGAAAGACGGAGGGAAAGAGGAGAAATACAGAGAGAAAGAGAGAGAGGAGAGAAAGAGAGAGAGAGACGCTTTTGCCTGGAGCAACCCTGGTACCTGGAAAACCAGCCGCTACTGTCTAGTGCAGCCACATCCCTCTTTAGGGCAGGATCTGAGCGTGCCGGCAGCCTCCCGATCTCCGCTGGGCTTAGTTTATTTTTATTTTTCCTCCTCTCCTGACATGCTGCTGGTGTGGCTAAGTCCTTGATCTCTCCCTGCCCGCGTCCTGGGGCTGCAGCATCCCTTTTGCAGGTGGGGCGGTGACCGTGATAGCTGTTTCTGTCATGCATTAAAGCTCTCTAGACTCCGCGGGAAGGAAGAGGAGGAAGACAAGAGGCGCGGCGGCGGCGGCCCTAACGTTCGAAGAAAGCCAAGAGCCAGCAACTAGAAGAGGAAACAACCTCCAGTGACACCAGGACACTTACCTAAGCGAGCCGGGAGCCAGGCCTTTGCACGCCTGGTGGACGGCCCGGAGCCCGAGTCACAGCGCTCCCAGATTCCCACGGGAGCGGCCAGGCTGGAGGCAAATGTGCCACCGGCACTGGGAATGTCGCCTCCCTAAAACCCAGCACTCCTGGGCAGTGGCCATGCAACCCATGCCCACGGCACCAACCTCTGCCTAGCAAAGCCCGCGGGACGCCGTCTCCAAAAGGGATGCTGCAGCGTGCCCAGAGAGACCCTACGAGTTGGGATGGAGATGGCAGGGAGGGAGTCAGAGGGAGCGGGTGAGGCAGGGTGGGGGAAGCCAGGAAGGGGCCGGAGGGGCACCACGGGGCTCACACACTTACCCCGTGGCGGCTACCGTGGTGGTGGATGTCGGCTCCGGTTGGAGAATCTCCTCGCCAGCCCTCCTCGGAGAGGGGATGTCTCCGAAAACATCCATGGTGTCCACGGGCAGGGAGGAGCCCTGGGAGTTGGAGAAGCCAGTGCCCACGGGGGTGAAGGCGGTGGTCGGTCGGAAGCTGGGGCTGTCCCCCCGGCTGCTGGGCGCGGGGGATCCCGTCGACGACGGCGTGGATTTGCGGGAGAAGCTGACGGCCGCGGGCGGCTGCAGCGTGATCTCCGACACCTCCGTCTGCTGGATGAGGCCCGGCCGGGGCCGGGCGCGGGCGGTCAGCTCCGGGGAGCTGTTGCGGGAGCTGAGGGGACTTTGGGTCAGAGGAGAAAGCCTTGAAGGTTGTAGCACCACCTGATGTAAACTGGGCTCAGCCCTCCTGACCTGCCGAGGGCTGGGCCGAGGTCGGGGTTGGGGCTCGTACCACCTGGTGTCCAGGCTGAATGTGCTTGTGCCGCTGGGGCCGACGGGCTCGGACGGTTCGTGGTAAGGCAACACGGGTATGCCCATACCTTGGCTGGTATGTCTTAGCTGCCCTTGACATCCCATGGGTTGCATAGGTTTGTCCTGCCACTTGGTGGTAGCGGGCACGGAGGATTGACCCCTGCCCGGTGACTTGCCGGTCCAGCTCTTTGGTGCCTCCAGGGGCAGGATGCCCGAGTAGGACGCGGGGACCACCTGGAGGGAGGAGGGGGGTGGCCCCCGAGGAAGGCAGCCGGTGGGCTGGGAGCCCTCAGCTGCCTCGCAGGGCTGGAGCTGGTGGGGGAA